AAAAAAAAAAAAAAAAAAAAAAAAAAAGAAAGATCAGAAAACCAAAATTATCCATAGATTCACCTCCTAAAGAAAATCACTGACCAAAATTTTGGTATATTTCCTCCCATTTTTTCTAGGCAAAGACTTGGGGCGCTGTGTGTGATTATTGGGGTTGCGCTAATGAGAGGCTGTATTTTGTTTCTTCTCCACTGAACAGAGGGGCCCAACTGTGTACTATATGTTTGGACAGTCTGGGTCGAGGTTATTTTTAATGCATTGGCGGCGTGCGCCCTTGTTTACCTAAACCTTCTCAGCTGTTCCTTTTCCTGTTCTGTTTTAAATAGTATGATGAATATGATGTTTGAGACTATTTTCTTAGACTAGATTCCCAAAAATCAAATGACTGAATCAAGGTTGCATGTTCTATGGCTTTTGTTAAGTATTGCCAAATTGCTTTTCTAAAGGACTGGACCAGTTTGCAATGCCACCAGCCACGTATGACAGTGCCGGCCTCAGCATGCCCACAGCAACACTGGGTATTATGTGCTTGTTTTCTATGTTTATAAATCTATATATCTGTCTAATTTACTAAGTCGGTTGGCAAAAAAAGTACAGTGTCATCAGTGTTTTCGTTTATATTTCCTGGAATGCTAGTGCTGTTGAACACTTCTATATTTATCTGTAGAACATTCGTTATTTCTTTTTGTGACTTGTCCATGTCCTTTGTCTGTTTTTCTTTGAGAGTGTTCCATCTTTTGTCTTCTTGTTTTGGGGAGCTGCTTGGCTCTCTGCATAGGTGTGTGTATATATTTGTTTTGAGTTTATGGTGACTGAACACTTATTATGTACCAGGCACACACGTATATTTTGGTTTTTTTTGAGACAGGGACTTGGTATACAGGTCAGGCTGGTCTTGAACTCACTATGTAGCCCAGGCTGACCTCGAACTCATAGTGATCCTCCTGCCTCAGCCTCCTGAGTGCTGGGGTCACAGGTGTACAACACGGAGAGGGTTTTAGAAAGATCCCTGTTGGCTGGCATCAGGTGTGAAAGCTATGGCTGAAATGCAGGCACGGGAGAAAGTGCCTTTGGCAGAAGGGGTGATGGGCAGAGGAAGCCATCTTGGGGAGCCAGGTGAGGGACAGGGTAGGTAGGTCTTGCTGATGTCTTGGATCTAGGTGGGGTGAGGAGAAGGAGGGTACAAAAGGGTCCCCAGGATCCTCATTGAGGCCCTGGGTAAGCTATTCCTTGCTTGGTGTCTCTGGTTTATTTAGTTATATTTGTTTGTTTTGAGACAGGGTCTCGCTGTGTAATCCAGGCTGGCCTTGAATTGACTATGTAATCCAGGCTGGCCTTGAACTGGCCTTGACAATCCTCTTGGGTCAGTCTCCTCAGTGCGGGGATTATATGTGCACCGCTACGCCTGGCTTGTGTCTCTGTTTTGTCACCAGTAGAGATGATGCTATCTCGCCTGATGCCTGGCAGGCCAGGTGCCAGATGCAGGGATGGGAAGGGCTTAGTACGGCGCCTGGCTCATAGTGGTCCTTGGAGGAAGGGGAGCTGGGGGGTAGGATGAGAATCTAACCCGGCAGCTTCTTCCTGTGAGTCCTGTGCTTGGGGCTAGCTATGGTGAACTCTAAAGCATGCCTGAAGGGGAGTGGGTTTTCTGGGGTGCTCAGATAGTCTGAGGAGGCATCCAGGGGGTTTTCCTTTTTTCGCAGCTCCCCACCCCCAGCTGGAGCAGAAAAGCAGCCCCCAGAGCCTCCGTCACCACCAACACCCGTGGTGGGACTGAGACTGTGTCTCTCATCTCTGAACTCTGGCTGCCCTAGAGTGGGAAGAGCCCCTTTGAAAGTTAACTGTGATGTTCCCATGATGCTTCAGGGGTGACCCCTGACCCCAGCCTCTACCACGGAGCCATAGTGAGACCCTCTTCTCTCCTTTCCCGCCTGCAGGCAGCCTCCGCAGCTACAACATGGCAACCCCAAGCCTGACAGCTCCCAGCATTACACCGCCCCAGCTGGGGCCTCCCAGTCTGCAGCAGTTCTTTCCCCAGGCCACTCGCCAGTCTCTGCTGGGCCCCCCTCCTGTTGGGGTCCCCATGAACCCCTCGCAGCTCAACCTTTCAGGGAGAAACCCCCAGAAACAGACCCGGACTCACTCCTCTACCACCCCCAATCGCAAGGTGAGCGGTGGCTGGGGAGAGGGAGTAGGAACGGGAACAGCTGGGTGTCCGCCCAGCTCCACCTGCTCGCACTCACCCCGGGCCTTAGGGCCGGTCACGGTCCCTTTTTATGCCTCAGTTTCCTCCTCTGAAAAATAGGAGAGGAGAGTTGGACTTGTCTGCTGTTCCTCAGACTTCACGCGGTCCTGGGCCCCGACATCCTTTGTGCCAGGTCCCAGTAGAGCTGGGCCCGGCTTATAGGCAGCTTTAAGTGTTTCCCACAGAAGCTGGGGACGTGGCTCAGTGTCAGAGCACGGGCTCAGCACGTGCAAGGCTCTGGGTTCCGTCCCCAGCACCGTGAAAGCATGAATAAATGCTGTAACCCCAGCACTCTGAGAGGCTGGGGCAGAGGGATCACAAGTTTGAGTCCTTTTTGGACATTTTGGCCTTTGGCAAGACCCTGTCTGAAAAAAAAAAATTAAAAAAGATGTGAGGATATACCTCAGTGTGAAGGTCCTGGGTTCAATCTGTAGTACTTTAAAATAAATGAATAAATAAATAAGTACATGTTAGATTGATTGATTGATTCATTGATTGATTGATTGAGACAGGCTCTCGCTATGTAGTCCAGGCTGGCCTTGAACTCACTATGTAGCCCAGGTTGGTCTTGAGCTCATGGCGATCCTCCTGTCTCAGTCTCCAGTGCTGGGATTATAGGTGTGGGGCACCACGCCTGACTGTTAGATTTAAGTAGTTAATTAATTAATTAGGTACCAGGAATCAAACTCAGGACCTTGTGCTTGCCAGGCAGGTGCCGTGCTACATGTAGCTATAGCTACATCCCCAGCTATAGTTAGATTTATTTTAAAAGGAAATGTTAAACATAAAATCAAAGGAAACATTATATCACTACCTGAAAATTTGAAAACTAAATTAACTGGGATACTACGTTGCCTTTCACTGCAACTACGTTGCAGTGAAACAATGTCATAGGAGCCTAAGCCGTGTACCAGTTGGTGTCTCATGGCCTGAGCTTGCAGCACTCTGGGCCCTTGTGCCCTTCATGTGTTCACCGTTTCCCAGACCTACAGAGGGGATGAGGGACTTTCACAGGGATCCCTTCCCCCAGACCATACCGTCCCCGAGTGTCCTAGTAGCTCCTCGCCTGTGTCCGGCTTTCGAGCATGTTCTTGGGCACAGTTGACGCCCCTCACCTGGTTGCTTCAGGAAGCCCCACGTCTGGAGATGAAGCACTGTCTTCCAAAAGGGGCCCCAAGTTGGGACACCACAGCTGCCTGTGTCGTAGGGGTGGTGTCTGCGAGCCTCTCTGTGTGTGCAGATTGCGTTTCCCACTCAGTCCTCCATGTGGGGCTTAGCAGGAGGGGAGGAAGCTGCAGCGGGCCCCAGAGCTTCCCAAGATGCCTGGGCTGGCTGGCACCTGTGTTCATAGAGTGAACATCTGTAAAGCCCCCAATGCAGTGGTTTGCGTGTAGATGTTGCGTGTAGTCTGGCCTTCCTGCGGGTCCTGGGGGAGGGTGTGAGAGATATTAACGTGTGTAATGCCCTAGTGAAACATTTAAGACAGGCAAATACCACCAAAAGTAAGCAGAAGGCCCCTGGGGGCCTACAGTAAGAGTGTGGACGTAGTTTGGGTCAGGAGGCTTGTGGAGAGGGGGCCCTGGGGACAGGAGGAGGCCCAGGGCCTGCTGGAGAGGCCCAGCAAGGACGTGCAGAGAGGGCCAGGGAGAGTGGAGACACTGAGGCCAGAGGGGCCTGACGAGGGGCTGCGGGGGCAGGGACCAGGTTGAGCCGGTTGGGGTGGGCAGGGGAGGGTGGTTTCAGGCTTGGGGTAAGAAGTGCCCCAGGGTACAGGAAGCCAAGAGAAGTTTTATCTTGAAAGAGATCAGAGAAGGTTTCAAAGGCTCCTTGGAAAGAAAGGTGCGGGGAAGCCAGGGGGCTGTAAGGGGGTCTGTGACCCCCAGCCTGGCTTACTTTACAGTCAGGCAGTTAAATGGGGTGTGGGGTGTATCCTGTCATCTGCCCGGCAGCTCTGCACCCAGGCCCACCAGAGACTTCCTGGGCCCTGCAGCCCCTGGGGACTGCGGCAGCCACTGTTGGCCAGGGCAGTATTTGCAGTGGTGGGTGGCAGCCGTCAGAAATGGTTTCTGAAAGGAAGCAGGATTCTTCTTCTCAGACGATGCCGGTGGAAGATGGGGCAGACCCCCAAGAGGGGTCTGAAGAAGCCGAAGAGCCCAGAATGGACACACCCGAAGGTGAGGGAGGTGGGGAGCCCGCTGGCCCTTCAGAGGGGACATGGATTGGGTGGTGGGAGCAGGGGTGGCAGGGATTCTTGGCGGGGTTGAGCCCTGGCCCTGTTACTGGGGTCAGACGTACTCCACATGGCACCTCTGTTCCTCTGTCCATCCCTACTCTAGACGGAGATTTGGCCCCCTGCCCAGATGGCATCTTGAGTGAGAAACGCACTCCCACACCTGAGCCTGAACCGTGTGAGGTGACTGAGCCACTGGCCAAGAGGTCGAGAAGGTAAGTGATGCTGGGGGGGTGTCAGGGCCCAGGTTCCCTGTGCTCATCCCTGCAGAGATGGGGTGGGGAGGCAGGAGCTGGCCCTGCGGAAGATGGGTCAGGATACCTCTAGTGTGGAGGAAAGTCCGACTTACCTCTGCACCTACCTGGGAAGGCTGCAGGCCACACCTGGAGGCCAGACTGGGGGCTAAACCTAAATCAGGTTAGGGGGCTGATGATCTGTACTTGAGACCTCAGAGAGTGGCAGAGGGTGGGCAGGTTTGCAGGGCTAATTGGAGACGTGTTAGCAAGTGGCGGGAAGGGGGAATCCTCTCCAGTTTATTTAGGTGACAGTGACACCCCTGTGTTAGTCAGCTGTGCTGTCCCTGGGATATAGTTGAGATAGAGTTGACACCCACAGCTGAAAGGAGGAGAGGTTTAACTTTCTCTAGCTTATGGTTTTAGGGGCTTCAGTGCATGGTTGGCTGGCCATAGGCAGGAATATAATGGCAGGAGAACATGGCCAAGTAAAGCTTCTTAGTTCATGGCAGCTAGGATGCAGAGCAGGGGAACAGGGCCAAAGAGGAAGGAATAAGGGACCACAAATAGAACCCAGGGTCATGCCTTTGGTGATCTACCCAGATGCATCCAGAAGCTGTACTTTATTAATCTGGTATGCATGTCTTAATCCAATCAAGTTGACATATCAAGATAACCAGTCACAATCCACCCCTTGTCAACCTGACACTAAATATATCTCTTTAAACCATCCTTAATATCCACAAAACACAACAGTAAGTTAATAATTTCACCTAACATGATCCGACTAGCTGGGATATAATAAAAAATGCAATAATCTCTTCTCCAGTCTCAACAATTCCAGCATTTTTCAAAAGTCCCGGTCAAAGTCTTTTCTGCAACTCAAGGCAGACTCTTTTAAGTGTGAACCTCTGAGAATAAAAAAATAAATTACATAATCCTAAGGTAGACTGGCACAGGGTGAATGTTCCCGTGCTGAAAGGGAGGAGTAGGGGGATAGAAAAGAATCAGACCAAAGCAAGACTGGAATCCAGCAGGGAAAGCATTAAATCCTATAGCTTCAAATCAGGCACCAGGGCAAGTAGTGGTGAGATGTGAGCTCCAAAGGGCTTGGGCAGCCCAGTTTCTGTGGCCTTGATGGTTGTAGCCCACATGGCTTCTCTCTTGGGGTGACTGTACTCATAGCTGGCAGATGTTCTGTGTTTTTGACATGTCCAACTTCCTGGGGTCTCCACTGCACCTTCAGCTTCACTTTCACAGCTTCATGCATTGCCCTCTTGGGGCCACATTGCCTGGCCTGTCAGGCCTTCCTTTGATATCTGAGTAGGAATCTCCCTGACCCCATAACATTGATTCTGAATATGTAAAAGGAGCACCACATGGATGATGCTAAGGCCTGCCACCAGTGCAGGCAGTAGCCAGGCCCCTTGGGACCATGGCAGCAGCAGTCTCTGAGTGCCTGGATGGCTGAGCACAGTGAAATGAATTCCAGGGGATCAGTTTTCTAGGTGGTCCAGGGCTTTTCTCAAATGAAAGGTTTATACTTTTGCACCATTGAACCTGTGATTGGGTTAAGGCATCGTCTTGTTCCTGTTCAAAGTACTTGGTGTCTTTTTTGATGGCATTAATCTCTTCAGCATCTGCAACTCCTTTGGCCCCAAGTTTATACATGGTTCCTTCTGGGCCAAAATTTTAAGTTTTTCAAATTTTTCTGCTCTGTTTTTTGCCCTCAATTCTCACTAGAAATTTGGCTGAAGGCAGCCGGTAGTATCCTTGCCACAGCCTGAATGTTGGACTGTCTTGAAATTTCCTTCACCAGATTAATTAGTCTGTCACTTTAAATTCAGCCTCGTACAGTTTTAGGGCAAGGACAAAAGGAAGACAAGTTTACCAGAATGTAGCATGCATGGTCTGTAGTCCGTTTCCTATTAGAGTCTGTGTTCCCATCTAGAACTTCCTGATCCCAGCCTTTAGTATCTGAATTCCTATCAGCATTCTGGTTTTCTTGTCTCCCACCAGAATCACCCAGCAAGCTCTGCTTCATATGGTTTCTCTTCCTGGTTTCTCCAAACTTCCAAAAACTTCCCATAAGCCAGTCCCAGAAGCTTCTAAATAAAATGGTCAGCTATAGTTACAGCAACAGCACACTCTCAGTACCCATTTTCTATATTGGTGAGCTTTCCATCACGGGGACACAATAACTGATGCCTATAATTTAAAGGAGGAGAGGTTTAATTTAGCTGTTTCAGAGGGTTCGGTCTGTGGTTGGCTGGCTCCGAGGCAGAGACATCATGGCAGAGGGGTATGGTGGAGCAAAATTGCCTAACTCGTAGCAGCCAGGAAGCAAAGTAGGGAAATAGCACCAGAGCAGAAGGGGCCAGGGACGATATATAGTGCAGGTCTGCAACCTCTGGGCCGCAGACTAGTGCAGGTATGTATGTGGCCTGTTAGGAACCGGGCCACTTCATCTGTATTTACAGCCACTTCCCATCTCTTGCATCACCACTTAAAGTCAACCTCCTGCACGTCAGTGGCAGCGAGCTGTGCCTTCCAGGGATCTAGGTCATGCTGTCTTTATGAGAATCTAATGTAATAATAATAGAAATAAAGTCCACAGTGTCATAATAATAGAAATAGAACACACAACAAATGGACTGTGCTTGAATCATTCTGAAACCATTCTTCACCACCTCTGGTCTGTGGAAAAAATTGTCCTCCATGAAACTGGTCCTTGCTGCCCAAAATTTTGGGGGCTGTTGATATATAGTGCCCAAGGTCACACCTCCCTGGCACACCCAGACACACCCTGAGGTGTGCTTTACTAATCTTCCGAGTGTTTCTTAATCCAATCAAGTTGATACATCAGGATTAATGATCACAGCCCAGAAAGCCACAGAGTGGCCCTGATCCCCTGCCTGTCAGTGGTGGAACTGGGATTAGAAACTGGGTCTTGGCCTTTCTTGGCAGATGTGAGTTTGATCTTCTTCTCATCCTTTATAGCTCAGAGCTGCCCACAGAGAAGGGACCTCCAGGGCCGTCACAGGTGAAGGTGCCGCCTCCGGCCCGGATGACAGTGCCCAAGCAGACCCAGACACCAGAACGGCTGCCGGAGCTACCGGGAGCCCGGGTGCTGCCTCGGTTCCAGCCACGGGTCCTGCAGATCCAGGCTCAGGTGCAGCCCCAGACTCTCCCACAGATGCCACCTGTGGACACCCAGGTGCCACTGAAGCTGCAGAAGCAGGCACAAACACAGACCTCCCCAGAGCACTTAGTGCCACCGCAGAAGGAGACAGAGCTGCAGAAGCAGGTGCAGTCACGGGGCTGTGTCCGTCCGCCGGAGCAGGGGCAGCTGCAGCTGCAGAAGCAGGCCCAGACACAGACGTATCCACAGGTGCCTGGCCAGGGCCAGCCAAGGGGCCAGACGTGGGAGCAGCCCTCAGAGCAGCCTTCCGCCCAGGTGGCCGTGCAGTCAGCGGAGCAGACCCGGGGCCAGCCTGAGCCCCAGCCACAAGGGTTAGTGCCCACCCCAGAGCGAGCACCAGTTCCTACGGATGCCACGGTGCTGGGGACGCCGCCCAACGTCACAGCAGAGGCTGGGGGAGGTGAGTGAGTGTCACCTCCCAGCCAGTTTCCTCCTCTGGCACTGTCCAGCCTGGACTGGGTGCTGCCAGAGGCTGAGGGCCGGGCCTGGAGCCCAGGTCTGTGGCTGTCCACACCTGGGACTTCAAGGTCCTAGCTGTGGACGGAGAAGGCAGCTCTTGGCCCAGGTCCCAGGGCCCAGGGTGGCAAATGGACTCTGGGAAAGGGAGCACACCTGTCATTTCAGGCATGGAGGAAGCCTTGCCAGAGCCGGTGGGGGCCCAGGTCAGGGTAGCAGCGAGCCAGGAGTCACCGGCCAGTGGTCTGCACCCGGGAGAATGTGAAAAAAGAGCACGAGAGATGCTTGGGGTGGGTAGCAGTGTGAATGCAGTGACGTCAGGCCCCAGGGCCCAGCAGCGGGGTGTCCTCTGCCTCAGTTCACCTGGGGTCCCCTTGTGTTTCCCCAGAGTTTGATGTAGACCAGCTGCATGGAAGCTCATGCAGTAGTGTTGCCTTCCCATGCCTTTGCTCTGAAGACCTAGGGTGCTTTTGATGACAAGAGTCCCTTCTGTAGCTGGGCTTGGGGGTACATGCCCATCATCCCTCAGGAGGCTGAGGCAGGAGGGTCCCAGGGAATCGGAGGGCGGCCTGGGCTATACAGGGAGACCCTTTACTCAAGAAAACAACAACAAAAAAAAGCCCCTTGCAGCTGGGCAGTCCTCAAGTAAGACCTCCCAGTCCCCTCACACTGGGGATAGCTCTCTAGTGGGAAGAGTGCAGAATGAAAGCTTCTCTGAAGCTTGGGTTCCCGCTTGGGGCAAGCCTCTCCCCTTCTTTGGGTTGCAGTTTCCCCATCTGTCATGTGAGGGGTGGCATGGGTTAGATTTTACAATTTGGCAGACCTGGATTCCCATTCTAGCTACAGTGGGCAGTCGCCTAGTAGCCGAAGCCTGTTTCCCTCTCTGTCAGGAGGCTGTGATAGAACAGTGCTCATAGGTGTTCGCCCTGGGGCTGGCTGTCCAGAAGCACCCAGATGGCAGAAACTCTGCTCCTGCTCCTGGTGCAGATGTGGGGTGCCGGGGGCTCCCTGAAGGTCACCATCCTGCAGAGCAGCGACAGCCGGGCCTTTAACACCACACCCCTCACACCGGTGCCTCGTCCCAGCGACTCTTCCCCTGCCACCCCGGCAGCCGCCAGCACGCCTTCTAAGCAGGGCCTTCATTTTTTCTGCTATGTCTGCAAGACCAGCTGCAGCAGCCAGCAGGTACTAGGGGTGGACGGGCGGGGCTTAGGGGTGGATGGGCGGGGCTTAGGGGTGGATGGGCGGGGCTTAGGGGTGGATGGGCGGGGCTTAGGGGTGGATGGGCGGGGCTTAGGGTACAGGGCGGCTTGGGCTCAGCACAGCACGCAGCCTGCCCTTTCCGTGCCCTGCTAATGGCTGCACAGAACCCTCGAGCCTGGCCCTGCACAGTGGAACATCGACTTAGCAAGCGTTTCCTGCCAGGCATGGTGGTGCCCAGCTGTAATCCCAGGCCCCTGGAGGCTGAGCCAAGAGAATTGATTGCTCGGAGTTCAAGGCTAGCTTGAGTGACACATAACACCCTTCTTCAAAACAAAACAAGACAAAACCAAACCAAACCAGACCAGACCAGACCAGACCAGACCAGGCCAAAGCAAACCAAAGCAAACCCAAAAGAAAACATTTTCTGACCAGCCAGCTGGGCAGATTTTAGAGTCGGGCAGATTTTAGAGTCAGGCAGACCTGGTTCAAATCAGCTCTGACCAGCTGTGTGGGCCTGGACCTGACATTGTAGGCTGCAGCCCAGGCCTGGTGTAAGTGACTGAAGCATCAAAAACAAGCTTGCTAAGTGTGTTGCTACCCCTGTTGCTATGGTTACCTCTCTACTCTACCCGACCTGAGCAGAACCATGCAGATCTAAGTGAACCAAAACATGCGTTGTCTTTGAGGTGGTCACAGTCCCTGGGAGCAGCAGAGCTCTGGCTGGTGTGCACTTCCTGCCTCAGTTTACCAGGGTGTTCTGGTCCCCACGGGGTCTCACAGAGATGGCTATGAGGCCCAGGTTGGACCTGTCCTCAGGGCCTCCCCTCATGCCCATCCCTGGCTTGTTTGAGCTACAGGAGTTCCAGGACCACATGTCGGAGGCCCAGCACCTGCAGCGGCTTGTGGAGCTCCAGCACACGAACCACGCGTGCCTCCTGTCCCTGCTTCCCATGCCCAGGGACGCCCTGGAGAGAGACGAGGAGTGAGTTGGGGGCTGCTCTTTTGGGGTGGGCAGGTTCACTGGGCAGCTCCTGAATCTACCCTCTGCCAGGGCTGCCCTTGGGGTAAAAGAGGCCCCTTGACGCCGCTAACAGTGGCTGTGGACCTCAGTTTCCTCCATCTGTAAATGGCCTGGTGAGGCGCATGGTCAGGGATTCACCAGTCTATTTAAGTCCATCGCAATGGGAACATTGTGACCTCGCGTGGGAGGGAGGTGGGCTGTGGCCCGGAGCTCTGCGCCCCCTGGCATGTATGCTATGGGGGTGCAGTGGCAGGGATCAGGTCACCTTGTGCCCTGTGTTCAGAGAGTGTCCCCAAGTTGCTTCTTTCATCATCCCAGGGTTCATTTGATCAGAAACATTGTCACCCTAGAGGTTGGCAAGAACCATCGGGACCCCCTGGGCTGTCCCCGGGCTTCCGGGGCTGGGAGGTGCCATAGAGAAGCAGGACTGTGTTGGGTTGGTCTGTCGTCCCCACCCCGATCTCCTCTTCTTTCTGGAAAATTCAGAAGTCCAGATTGGTAGTGAAAGCTCAATTTCAAAATGCTTACCCGAGGGAGACCAAATAGAACCTTTCACAGGCTGGACAGGCGTCCCTTGAGTCAGTGGTCAGGGACTTTGTCCGAGTTCAAAGAGGTCACAGCTTGAACTTTCTCAGGTGGGGGTGAGGGGATGGTAAGGGCTCTTGGTTACTTTTCTCTCATTGCTGGTACAAAATACCTAGAGCCCAAAATTAAGGAAGGAAAGGTTTATTTAGCTCATGGTTTGCAGAGGTTTCAGTCCATAATCAGCTGGCTCCAAGGGAATGTGGCAGAGGGGCAACAGTTCAAGGCTGCAGAAGACAGCCAAAGGAATAAGAGCAAAAGGGGGGAACAAGCCTCTTTTCTTCCCTTCTATTGTAAACAGGCTACCCCTCCCCTTAGTTAAACCCACAAACTTCTTCAGTTAATACAGTGAATCAACCATTACAACACCCTGTTGTAAACAGCCTGTCTTCTACACACTAGGATGCAGAACTGCTGAAATACTTAGTTAAGCTTCTAAACTTCTCAAGTTGACACAGTGTATCAACCATTACAATTGGTGACTATGACATGCCTCCCCGACGGATGCACTTTTTTTTGGGTACTGGGACTGCTTGCTAGGGTTGAGCTGCGCTTCTGAGCTAGATGCCCAGCCCAGATGCACTTTTCCTCCAAGGGCAGCTCAGGTCTCTGTTAGCTGGTTCTCCCGGGAGAAGAGCTTTCTTCCTTGGTCTTCTGCCTAGCAGACATTATCATAAACAAACACAGGAGGAAGGGAACTCACAAAGATACTCTCTGAGTTAATATAATAGAGGTGGGGCTGGGGATTTAGCTCAGCGGCAAAGCGCCTGCCTGGCAAGTGCAAGGTCGTGAGTTTGGTTCCCGGTACCGGAGAAAAACAAAAAAAAAAAAAAAAAAAAAAAAAGAGAGGCATCGATCAAGTGTATAATGGGAGAGGCTGGGCATGGTGGCACACACCTATAATCCCAGCGTTTGGGGGAGGCTGAGGCAGGAGAACTGCTGTGAGGCTGACCTGGGTTACATAGTGAGTTCAAGGCCACCCTGAACTTTATAGTGAGACCCTGTCTCAAAGAAAAAAATAGAAAAATCTATGAATGATCTAAAATATCACAAACTGCACAATTGGTTAGATCAGTTAAGACCCGCCCAACCAATATATAACAGAGTTACAGGGACTTTATAACACTGCAAACTGGTCGGGTTCAAAAGGTTAAACCTTGCATACACAGAATGACCTTGACTGGAAGCTGGTGTGGTGGAGAACGCTTGCATTTGTAGCAGTTGGGAGGCTGAAGCAGGAAGATCACTAAATTTAAGGCCAGTGTGGGCTACATAGGGAGTTCAAGGCCAGCCTGGACTAAATAGCAAAACCCTGTTGCAAAACAAAACAAAACAAAGCAAAGCAAAACAAAACAAAACAAAACAAAACAAAACAAAACAAAACACAACCCCTGAAAACAAAAACAAAAAACCAGATCAGGCGTTTACACTGAAAGACAGATTAAATCGGAATTTTCCAGGCCATCATCCTCGGTTACTTCCTCATTCTAGTGGCATCCCAGACATGGCACTGGTAGTCAGTCACCTGTCATTGCGCCACTGCGTTACAATGTTAACAATTCATGAAACAAAGCAACCCCCAGCCCCAACCTGCAGCTACCTGACTTTGGTCCACAGCACCAGACAGTAGACGAAAATTAACCTGAGCACAAAGGAACAATGTTTTGGGGCTTCATAAATGAGAAAGTGAGGGACGAAGCTGTATGTAGGGGACATCATTTTGTAGAGAAGCCTCAGGCCACTCACAGTTCCAGCCTAGGCATGCAGCGACCCAACAGGAAGACAGGGTCCATATCTACCGGGGCAGAAAGCGCTGGGTGTGCCAGAACCACTCTCCTGGCTAGGCCTTGGTGGGCGGGGCCAGCTCTACTTGAGCCACGTGGTGCGGTTTCCGTGGAAGACAGAGAAATGATCCCAAGAATGGGCTGATGTGCTGGACCCCAGAACTGAGCCCAGCCCCCACTGGCGAGGGTGATCCCCACCCCCTCCTCACAGTCTGCTTGGTCATTTCTAGAAGGCCTCTGGCCCGGCCCTGGCCACACACTGGGCACCTGTTGGATGAGTACATTTTTTCATTTAGTGCTTATTAAAAAAATTTACTTAGGTACTGAACTGTTCCTTGTAAAACTCAAATTTAACTGGGTAGGGTGGAGCATTCCTGTCTATAATCTCGGGTAGCCTGCCTCAGCCTCCCAAGTGCTGGGCGTGTGCCACCATGCCCAGCTTTAGTCTTTTTAAAAGTAAAAATTGGAGTCATGCTGCAGGATGTAGTGAAAGTATTTACATGTCTCAGTAGCCCTCTCTATTAGGGTTTCCCTCAGATCTGCATCTGTGGACACTGAGGGGGGCTCTTGTGGCCCCTAAAACTGGAGTAAAGTGTATGTGGATAGTTTGTAGAGAGTTCTTATTTTCACTGGCAGAGAACAGTAAGGGACGACCTCAGCTCTTTCAGTCCCTTTTATTTTACCCAGGCTCTTTATGATGTGTAGCACTCACACCCTTCATCCTAGTGCCCTTGAGCCTAGCACTGCACCGTGAATCAATTCCAGGGTCACACACAGTACATCCAGCCACCTCCGGAAAGCCCCACCTATGACTGCATGAGGCTTTGGAGGGACATTTGTTTTTTTTTTTTGGTTTTTTCTCCGGTACCGGGAACCGAACTCACGACCTTGCGCTTGCCAGGCAGGCGCTTTTGCCGCTGAGCTAAATCCCCAGCCCCTGGAGGGACATTTGAACACAAGCCACAACAATTTTCTTTTATATTATTATTACTATTCTTAATTTTTGAGACAGGGTCTTATTATGTAGTTCAGACTAGGTTTGAGTCACTGTGTAGGCCAGGTTGACCTCAAACTCACAGTGATCCTCCCGCCTCAGCTGAGTGCTGGGGTTATGGGTGTGAGCCACCACTCTTTCCTCCTTTTTTGTGCTGGGCATAGAACCCAGGGCCTCCCTTGTGCCGGGCACATGCTCTGCTGCTGAGCTGCGTTCCATTTATGGAGCGATTTGGGGGAGCTTCTGCTTCCTCCTGGAATATAGTGTCACACTATGCTTGTTTTGGTTGTCATTATTCAGAGAGCCACCACTGAGGCGCTGGTGCAACACCTGCCAGGTACACTATGTGGGGGACCTGATCCAACACCGAAGGACACAGGACCACAAGGTAGGGCGTCCTCATCCTGCATGCGCCAGAGCTGGGGAGGAGGGAGCCCGAACAGAGTGGAAGTAAAGCTCTGTCCTTGTTGCATGTGACTGTCGCTCCCAGCTGGGCCCAGCACCTGCCCTTCAGCCACAGGGCTCACAGGTCCTTTGGGGGCTCCCCTCTCTCTTGCCTTATTGCCACCTGCTGCCCACCTCCTGGCCTGCCACAGGTAAGGGCTATGTGCGCATGTGCCGGGGCAGAGACGGGGTCAGGCCAGCTGGCAGATGCGCTGGGCCTACAGGTGGAAGGAGTGGTCTTGCTGGGTGCTGCCTGGCTACTCGTCCGTGGGCCATACCTGGGGTTGCTGCCTGCCATGCACATGGCCTGTCCTCCTTTTCCCAGGTCGCCAAACAGTCCTTGCGGCCCTTCTGCACTATTTGCAGTCGCTACTTCAAGACCCCCCGCAAGTTTGTGGAGCATGTGAAGTCCCAGGGCCACAAGGACAAAGCCAAGGAGGTAACCCCAGCTGCCTCAGAGGACACGGGCCCAGAGAGTTCAGAGCCTCAGCCAGGGCCACACGGCAGGCTGGGCTTTATCCCAGCCTAACTCATAGTGGGTCTAAAGGCACCAGGACTCGCAGGGGTGTGTGGCATCTCGGCTGCCCACAGCTGACCCCAGTCCCTTACCCACTCCCCGGGGCAGCTGAAGACGCTTGAGAAGGAGATGGCCGGCCAGGACGAGGACCACTTCATCACAGTGGATGCTGTGGGCTGCTTTGAGGATGATGAAGAGGAGGAGGAGGAGGAGGAGGAGGAGGAGGAAGAGGAGGAGAATGAAGAGGAAGAGGTCGAGGTTGAGGAAGAACTGTGCAAGCAGGTAGCTGGGGTGGGCTGCAGGAGGCAGGCTGGAGGTGGGACAGCCGGCCCAGGAGGGCCTCAACCCACCCCAGGGGCCAGTCCTGGGCTGGCACTTGCAGCCTGAACTGCATTGCAGGTGACCGTGCAGAAACACAGCAGGGTGACTGCCGAGGAGCAGCTGAAAAGTGTGAGGGGCCTGGAAGCCTGGTGGGGATTTTGATTGGTCGAGAGGAAGGGAAAGGGCCTCCTGGTGACGGTGGTGATGCTGTTAGCAGCTGACTTCCCTGGGTTTTTTGAGCATTCACTATGTGCTAGGCAGGTACCGTGCACTGTACTGGCAGAATCTCATTCTAGTGGATGGCAAGAAGAGAGACTCATAGCCAGGCTATGCCAGACTCATGGCGGTACGTGCCTGTAATCCCAGCACTTGAGAGGCTGAGGCAGGGGGATTGCTACGAGTTGGAGGCCAGCCTGGGCTACATAGTGAGTTTGAGGCCAGTCTGGAATATGTAGTGAGATTGCCTCAGAAAATAAAAAAACAACAAAGAAAGGGAGAGGCTTGAGCCCATGCCTTTAATGGCCCGGCTCTGTGCCTCTAAAGGAGGAGCGGGTTGGGTCTTAGATTCTTTGTAGTTTAACAGATGTTTCTGGGAATCTGATCAGGGCCAGATCCTGGTGCTAGACACAAGGACATGTGAGGCCCAAGGCCTGGCCCCCACCTCACAGAGGTTGCCCATTTACAGTCCAGAGTGGTCAGAGGAAGGGCTTGGCAAGGGGATGCTGTCACTCTTGGAGCCAGGTGGCAGGTGGTTGAGGACAGTTTAGGTGCGGTAGGGCTGACAGGCAGAGGGTAGTCTCTTCTGGAAGGGGCCTGTGGCCAGCAGGTTGGACACGGGCTCCTTGGTCACCTGAAACCCATGCCAGGACTAAGGAGTCCTGGAGTCCTCCTCACTGGAGTACTGGGCAGGAACTCGGGGAGCTGAGGGCCCCCAGGTGAGAATTTGAACTCTGGCTCGAGCCCACCGGAGTTCACTCCCTGGCCTCTCCGGAGACCAGCGGAGCAACCTCGGGCAAGTGCGTTAATGTCCCTGCTGCCTCAGTGTTCTTTTGCCAGATGGGTGCAGCCGCAGGGTTGCTCTGAGCAGCACTGAGATGACACACGTGATATGTTGGTCATACTTGGTAGATTGCGGCCACTGCGGGAGTGGGAGCGGCCTGGAGGGCGGGACGGGTTGAGCAGGGTCTGGAAAGCATGGCGCAGAAAGAGCACCCTGGAGGCAGCCCCACCCCGGATAGGGTCTGGGGAGCTCGGCCCAGGGCTGAGGCCCTCGCTTGCATTTCTCCAGGTGAAGTCCAAGGATGGGGGCAAAGAAGAGCAGAAGGGCTTGGAGACCTACAGCCCCAACACTGCGTGTGGTAAGACCCGAGCCCGCCCGCGGGAGCAGTGGCCTGGGCTCAGCCTCCAGGTGACCTCTCCCCTAGCCTTCTTCTCTTCTGCTCCCTCCTAGGGGGTGGGGGTGGGATAGATGGTACCCAGAGAGGCCAGCATTCCTGGCTGGTACTGGGGATGTGCGCACATGACCCTGCCCTCCCTAGGTGTGGACTTCTTGGTGCCCGTGATGGGCTATATCTGCCGCGTCTGCCGCAAGTTCTGCCACAGCAACTCCGGGGGGCGGCTTTCCCACTGCAAGTCCTTGGCCCACTTTGAAAACCTGCAGGTGAGCTGGGCCCACTGTCCTGCCAGGGGCACAGCCTCTGTCTCCGCTAAGAGATGGCCAGCAGCTACATCCTTTGTGGGAAGCCTGTCCCCAGGCACACACCTGCCACAGGGAGGGAGTCAGAGCTGGGGTGGGGTTGGGCCCTTTCTGTCCCTGTTCTAGGGCAAGCTGAGGGCAAGGCATTAGCTCCAGAACCTGGCCCAGAAGGGCTGAGGGCACCCGTTGGTGTCACGGCGCACCGGGCTGGGGAAGCGGCTGCTGGCCAGGAGCGCCCAGGAAGTCCTGACTTCAGCGCACGCTCTGTGTCTAGAAATACAAAGCAGCTGAGAGTTCCCGCCCTGCGTCCCGGCCCGTGAGCCGCCAGTGCGCCATCAACGCCCGCAACGCGCTGACGGCGTTCTTCACCTCCAGCTCCGGCCTTGGCAGTGCTCGGCTGCCCATGCAGTCCAGCCCCCAGGACAAAGCCAAGCCCCTCAGCAAGGTGACACCTCGACCCCCTAACGCCCTCCCCCTCCCTCGGCGCTCGAGCCGCCTCAAAACCTGAACGTGCGAGCTCCCTGAGCCCAGCTTTCTGGGTCTGGATCCGTTAATGCTTTTAGGAGTCTGTGTGGAAACGGATGTGCGTGGTGTTTTTACTCAAAACAGAATAAATGGTAGTTTGGATGAGCAATGCCTACAGCACTCCTGTCTGGGTGTACAGGCGACAGACACCCAGGCAGCTCAGCCGGTGCCCAGCCTTTCTGGGCACGAATATCGGCAGAACTGGAAGGCAAAGATAAGCTTCCTGAGGACTAGGTATTCTGGGATCACCAAGCGCTTTGCCCAGGCCTCGGTTTTCCTCTTAATGATGTGTCAGGACTGGGAAACTGCCATTAAATAAGTTAAGATCTTTGTTAACCTTTGCAGTGACCTGAGGAGGGGGTGTGGTTGCTGCCCCAAAATTACAGATGAAGAAACTGAGGCCTAGCAAGGTCCAGGGACTTGGCAGAGGTCTCAGGGCTGGACCTGCGTGGTGCAGCTGGAATTCAGGTTGGGGGTGCCTTGCCACTTGGGCGTTCTGGTTCTCGGCTCTTGGTTCGCTGGCAGGGTGCAGGCCACAGCAAGATGAATCGCCAACAAATGGGCCCCACTGTGTTGGCTTTGCAGTGCTGCTGTTTTTACCTTTAGACCCTTACAGACAACCAGCCCAGCCCAGCCGCTGGCCAGCTCGGAGCTGAGTTGGAGGGCAGCGCCAAGGCCGCACAGCGTGTCTGATGCTGTCTGAGGAGGCCCCGGCCTTGTGTACACCCTGTGCCCAGAAACAAGGTGACTGAGTGTCCCAGCCCCACCTCCCAGCCCGAGCGCTGCCAGCGGTGATCAGCGCCCATAATGACTGACTGTGCTTTTCACCTCTGGCATCGGCAGTGGCCAGCCACCCACCCAACCAAACCCCCAGCAAGGCGACTGCTTGGGCCCCCCAAGCTCCCAGCATCACTTCAGGGCTTGAGCCGCCTCAAAACCTGAAAGCAGGAGCTCCCTGTGCCCATCCTGTCTGGGTCCAGATCTGTTAATGCCTTACGTCTGTGTGCAGACTGACATAGTCGGTGTTTTTACTTAATATCCAACAAAAGAAGGTCACTTCGGGGTGCAGTGCCCGCCAGCACTTCTGTCTGGTGTACAGGGGAAGGTGCACCCAGGCAGCTGTCAGCCAGCACTCGGCCTCTGAGTACAGCTGGTGCCACCAATGTGTGGTCTTGACTGCCCCATTCACCGCCAGTGGTCCTAGACACAGGAAAGCGGTGCCGTGGTGTGGGAGACCCGTTTAATGTGGATGCTTGATCCTGGACAGAGTGGGGCATGCCCGGGAGGTGGGCAGACTGGTGGGTGGGAGACCAGCCCACACCTGGCCCCAGCAGGGACGCTGGGCAGTGGGGGCTTGCACAGGCAGGCAGACCCACGAGGGGACCGAAGGCCAACCCTCAAGGGGGTGTTGAGGCCAGAAGGTGCATGTCCAGGCAGAGCCTGGCCCAGGGATACAGGGTTGGGGCCTGCCCCGAGGGCTCCCGGAGCCTAGGAGCTGGCATCACCGGCGGCCTCCCCGAGCTGCTGCTGGAACTCCAGGCGCGTCTGCCGGTTGGACTCCAGCAGCTCCTGGAGACGGGCGTGGAGGTGGTCGTTCTTCTCCTCCAGGTGGTCCAGGCAGGAGTTGATCTGGTCCAACATGGAGTTGATGGCGGCGTACTCTAGAGGAAGGGGAATCGGAGTCAAGTCCCGTGTCACCTTGGGGCTCACCAACACCCTCACATTCTACTCTCCCCCAGTTGGGCACTGGGCAAGTCCCTCTGCCTTCCTGAGCCTCACTGTTACCATCTGGAAAGTGGGTGGATTTCAAAAGGAGAAAGGCTTTGAAGAAGGAAAGCCTTGACGCACTTTTTCCTAGCGTTAGGGTGGCGGCCTGGGAGGTCCGGTGGATGCTGAGCCTCCTCATTTCCGTCAGCGGCCGCGTAGAGGCCACAGCCTGCGTTCTGAGCCGGGCAGTCAAGGCCACTGTTCGCGGCAGAACTTTCTCCAGCCCTCCGTGGCGCCCTCTGCTGTCAGGATAAAGCACCCAGCACCGGATTCCCCCGAGCCGGAATGGCAGCCAGTCCCTGTTTCCCTCTCTAGCGCCATATCCTGAGCCTTTTCTTTTCCTCTTCCGCCTGCCTTTGCCTGTCTTAGGCCCTTTCTGTTCATTGCCTCTGCCCGGAACGCACTGGGTCCTCCTCTTCCTGGATAAGTCCCACTCACCCTTCAAGTCTCAGTGTGGATGTCACCACTGGGGAGCCTTCCCTGTACCCCAGGCCGGGCCAGCCTCACTTCCGACCCGCTGGCCATCCTGGCCCCTGCCTGGCTCTCCCTCAGTCAGGACTGAGCGCTGTGGTTATTTATGTGTCCCTCCTTGCCTGGGAGTCTCCGTGAAGTGTCTGATCTTGGTTGCTGCTGTCTCCCCAACCTAAGCCGTTGTTGAATGAATGAGTGAATGAACGAACGAAGTTCTGACTGCCCAGTCTCTCTGTCCCTGCCAGCCAGAATGCCTCAGTGCAAAAGCCCTTCCAGGACCAGCTCACAAAGCCCCCGAGAAGCCCTCCAGCTCTCCACTTGCAAATACCGTTTCCTTCGCAACACAGCGTCTCTTAAGCGCCAAGGTCTGGGCCTGTGCCCACTGCGGGACCCGGTTCTGTGCCAGCACATGAGTCAGATTCATGAGACTGCCAGCGTGGGACTGGAGGGGAAGTGGCTGATGGTGTGTCTGGGACATGGGTGCGAACCTGAATTCTACAGGAGGGGCAGCATTGTCCAGACAGTGCCCCTCTCGCTGGATAGTCCTGGAAGTCCGCTGGATCTCAAAAGCCTACCCCGCTCCTGGGACAGATGGGGCGACAGTGGCCTAGAAAGGAAGAAACCTGTGCAGGTCCCACGGCTCACTGATCACAGAACCCAAACAGACTTGGGGGTTAGTGGCTCTTGAGATTGAGCTCTAGCTCTGTTCCACGAAGCAAGCTACTGTAGCTCCTTCCCGGAAAAGGTTGAGAACTGAGGATTCAAATACACCAAAAATTCAGACGGTCTGGCCACAGCAAGTACTTAATAGGAGGTCATTATGATCAACATTTCGCATGGGGGACACAAGCTTGGACAAGGGTGGGGGAGGTGGGTATCTCCACATCACTTGGCAGGCCCTGGCTTTATCTGTGTCAAAGGTACTTCCCAGTTCCGAGCCTTTGCTTCTTCCAGGGACACCCTCCTCCCCACCGTCCTAGGGATCTGCCAACGTCCACTCTGTGACGACCTGAGAGGCCCTTCCCAATGCTCCCGCCATGGCTTCCAGCACTGATGATACACGTCTGGGCTCCACTCAGCAGCATCGCCTGTGCAAGCCTTCTAGCACACTCATTGGCCCCAGTGTGGGGGCATCTTCTACCTCCCTTAAAAGCAGATCCTGCCCAGGCAGTGTGACATTCGTCTGCCAGCTTGGCTACAGGGGCAACTGAGGCAGGAGGATCACAAGTTCAAGGCCCGTCTGGTCAATTTAGATAGGGAGACCCTGTCTCAGAAGATGAAGGGGCTGGAGCTCAATGTGGTGGTACATGCCCGTAAGACTGGCACTCTGGGAGGCTGAGGCAGGA